ACGTACCATTTTCAATATTGGTCTTGAATTGTGAGTTGAAAAACAGCTGAGCTAATAAATAATGGAAAATGTCAGTAAATACAATTCTTCTTACGACCTATGAAGAATTTACAAACGTAAGAATTCCTCTCTCTTAACCATCATTAGGACACTACCCTCCTTGAGCAGCCCTGAGCCGCTGGTGGAAATTTCACATTCTTGTGGCAGGGGTCAGTTGAAAGAACAATCAGTAGAGTGAAGCGTAACTCGGATGGAGCTTCTGTGACATTTAAGAACAGGACCAGCACGGACAACTGATGCATTAATGTAGCTCAGCTGGGCAGTGTAGACTCTCTATGCGAGTTTTTTTTTATATATATCGTCTGTTTTCTCCACTGATTTTACATAACACCAACCTTTCCTGCTGGATTGGAAGGCTCAAATGTGTTTTATGTATATGTTAACGTCAAGAAAGATATCCTTGTAAATGTATTATCCTATGTTCCAAAACAATTTCAGATGAAATACTTTTCAGTTTTAAAGTTGACTTTTTATACGTATATTTCAGTACACAGGCTTATAAAAAAACACAACACATAGTATGTACAATAACAATATTCTGTTATTTTTACTGCATGTTACATGCAACATGTTTTTAAAAAACACACGGTATTTCAAAAACAACCTCTACAGCCAATATTTATTTCCCCAGATGTGTGTGTACTTGCTCAGTACATAAATATCCACTTAGTGTCACGAGTTTAATTTAAACTCGGTCACGTAGAACATTGAATATTATCTCCATTTGGCCGTTGGGAGTTTCGCTTGCAGCCGTTGACTCCCAAGGCAGCAAAGTTGTGAGTTCACATCCCTGAGCGGAGGTAGGTTCTCGCGTTTGTCAGTCACCTGCACAGCTGTCTCAGGGTCACGATGGAGATGCTTGCTGCATGGCGTTCGCCGGAGGGCGACACCAGCTGACTGACTTGACGTTGAGATAACCAAATATTTAGGACATTTCATCGGAAGCGGTGATTGATGCTGCTGCGAAATCCTGCTCTCTGAAAAATGGCCACCAAGCCTGCTAGGTGTAGTGTCTCCCCCAGCTTCGAAATGCGATCTACACTCAGAGCGGGTCAGTGCATTGCAGTTGGTGACGTCTTGGGAACGTGTTATTCCGTGCAGCTAAATGGCAAGGACTTGCTCGATGAGTTTTTCAATACGATATTATGTTTCTTAGAAAATTAAATGGTCATGCCAGGAACCTGACTTCCTGGAAAGAACAATATCTCGGCGGTATGGAGCTTTACAGGCGTTGGAAGTTCTTGAGGTGCCCCGTGCGAGTTTGTTTGTGTGTCTGTGAATTGTGATGTGTGGGGAGCCGTGGCATAGTGGTTAGCTCGCACTGAGTTGTGAATCCCAGCACCCCAAGTTCGATTTCTGACATCGGTAGTGAGCTATCTCAGAAACCCATCCTGGTTCTCTCAGGGGTCGACGCTACCTTAACGGGGTACCTGGTGTTGGTGTGTAAACACTAGCGCTGTGGGGAAACAAAGGTGGCCAGGCATGGTGCTGGTCTCACCAAACCCCCTGTTGCGCCATACTAGCCTTGATAAATGATCGCCTTGATAAATGGTCGCTTAACAGGACGTGTGCTTAAAGTATTTAAGGCTAAATAGAACCTCTGCCAAATGCGTGTGCATATGGCATGGTGAAACGGGTCTCGATTCACGCTTACGGTGGCTTTCAGACCGCAACCATTATTTTCGTCCCCCCCCCCCCTCCTTTTCCAAACATAGATGGACTCGTCCATCTGAATAACTGCCAAATCGCTCTCCGTGGTGCTAACGTAAAAAAACCCGCCACTTTTGTCAAATTTTCTTGCTGTGGTTTTCACACCTGATGATGATTGCTTGTGTTGCAATCGAAACGTCGTGAGAATTTTATTGTTTTCTATTTTTATTATTTTATTGTGTCCCTTCTACGTGACTTTACCGAAAGAACCAAGAATATGAATCCCTGCAGTCATGAAAGCTTTAAATCAAAATTGCGTATTTGGAAAGTCGGCCTTTCCACTGACAGGTATTGGATTTAAATACTATAGTTTTATGTAAACAATAGCTATAAAATAAATTAACCCTTGAAAGGAATTAATTTAAAACCTAAACTACACTAATTGTTTGGAAATTAGTGTAGGAAAGGAATGTGTAAAATGTTAACAGATATTAGGTAATACCATTAAAAAAATAAACTAATAGATTTAAATGATTGCAAAAATCTTGTTAAGATGGTTGCCAGTGATGGGTGTTTTAATGCGGTTCTGGACGAGCTAGAAAGAGGAAATTTTGCACAAATATCATTACGTCTACGCTCTCAACTTGAAATTCTGAACCCCAAAATATGGTATTTTGGACTCCATAAAAATGGAGGGGCAATATATAAGTGTATTTGTTTGACTTAGTTTTTTAATCTAGACCTACAAAGATATCATTCGTAGGTTTTGACTGAGATGTAATTAGTCAACTAACGGCGTGCGCATATCACCTCGAGTTTCCTGTTCGGTTGTGTATGCGTGTTGCATTTTACAATTCGGTTTACATGAACAATAAGACCTTTAAAATGCATTCCCTTTGGTACCGTTTGCTGTAATTGTTATTTTTCTTTTAATCACTGCGCCCACGGTGAGTTTTTCTCACCCCCCCCCCCATCCCCACCGTGTTTGCTGCAGGGACTGTGGCCCCCCAAGTCTCTTCAAAGGGGCAGCTCCGGCGCGCGGCCTCCCTGCACCCGCCCAACGGCAAACTGTGAGGACCAACGCCGCTAGGCAGTTTGATGCGGCTGATGGGTGTCCTCCGCGCCATGCGCGTGCGTGCTGGCTGCCCGAGCTGCGGGATGTGTTCGGTTGTCGCTCCCAGCCCCCGTTTAGTATGTACGTACCGTACGGTGTTGAACTCCTTTCGCACCCTACGTAGCCAACCGTGCTTAATCAGAGGTGCCGGTGGAAGGCTAGCGAGATAAAGACGGTAGTTCTAAAGCAATGCGTTTTCAATCAAGATGATAGCTGCGGTGGCCTTTTTTTTAATATCGGGAAGAAGAGCATTCCAGACGGCCGCAGAAGGACATCTGAAAGCGTGCGATGCGGTGGCCACCGTCTTTGTTCGATGGTTCCTCGAAAGCCGCTGCGGCGAGGATGTCCGGAGTTTGCGCGATGGTTTATGCTCCTTGACGAGATCAGCAAGGTTCGTCTCTACTAAGCACGTGGCTCGTATGGATAATAGCCAATGGGCGAGAAGAACGGTGGAGGTGCTAGGCGGATGATTACATCACTGGAAAGATGGCGACAGCTTAGGGGGCACTTCAATACAGCAGTCAATTATGGCTGACCATGAACCACGTTGGTGTGCCGTGCTGTTTGGCTACAAACTCGATTCGAAGCTTTCGTGACTGCAGAAATTACCCTTTGGTTCTTTCGGTAAAAGTCACGTAGAAAATGAAATAATAATATAATACGACGTTTCGGTTGCAACACAAGCAACCATCATCAGGTAAGAATGAATGATAAAACACAGACACGGGAAGAGCATAGGCAGTCACATATGCAGAGAGAGAGAGAAAGAGAGACACACACACAGAGCGAAACACACACCAAGACGAACAGAAGGACAACGAATCTGTGCCAAGGCCTTAAATAGAGTGGGGAGGGGCCGGGGCAGAGAGAGGACTGCGGAGGTGGGACCAGCGGACAAACGATGGGACAGGGAGGGAGCAGTGTGGAATTCCGGACCACAGTGGCCGGAGGACAGACAATGGTTTAGAGCAAGAAAATCGAAAGTTTGAGAAAGCAAATTTAGTAAAATTAAGAAGTGTAATGCAATGCAACACAGAGGGTCGGTTAACACACAGTTAATGCAACCGAAACGTCGCATTCTATTATTATACTTTCTGTTCGACGACAGTTTTTCAGCCATGTTGTTGAGAGAAACTTTCAGGATACTTTTGAAAGCATCGCTGTAGCCGTATCGTGATTTTCCTGCAGTGTCATGTTACGTCACTGGAGTGTTCTTTTCGGTGGGAATATTCCAAGCGGCGCCATGGCAACGATGGCCGACTCGCACCCGAATAACCACCTCAAATCCCAATCAGGAGTTGACTTGGTCCATCATCCGTGGAGGGTCAATACAATCTATACTGCTTTGTGAAAAGGCCACAGTGGTTGACATATGGATAGCATGGTCGTTGCCACATTTCAGTGGACGATGGGCTTCCCCAAAGAAAAACACGAGTTAACCTCCGCCCGAACGGGGTACCCATTTTATCAACCCTGGAAGGATGAAGGCCTGAGTCGACCCCCGACTAGCACTGTCACTGACGCAAACTTCCAATGGCAAATGGCAGTGGACTTGAGGGACCAGCCCTGCCCAAACTCATTCGCGTAACGAGACACAAGGCTCTAGACTCAACTTTAAACAACACTGTGAAGAAAATTTTCACGATGAAGACGAGAAAATGTTTAAGACGGCAAAGAGAATGTCAACAGAAGGCCTAGCGGGAGAAAAGAAAACACTGCCCATTAACAGAAATGTCTCTGATTTTTTTTCTTTGCATAGCGCGGTGGGTAAAAAGGGGTCTGGAGTGGCGTGGCCGAACAAAAACCCTCGCTTGTGAGCGCACACCAAAGTGACAGCAAGTAGCCCCTCTCGAGCACTTTCCCTTTACAAAAGCAAACCATCTGCAGAGTTGTTTAAAAAACAACATCCCCAACGCCGCACCATTAGCGCCCCACACACACACACACCTCCATTCCCATCCTTCTTTTCGACTGCCTCTGTTTCTTTCCTTACATTTATTTTCTGTCCATTGGAGTTGTTTTGTTTTCTGTCAGGTTTTTTTTTGTCCCAAGTCTCTTTCTTTCTTAGAATGTTTTTGGCCGTTTTTGTATTTTGTATAGCGCCGGTGCGCTCATTGATCTGGGCACGGGGAACGAAGATGGCCAAGGTTCCTCCTGATCCTCCCAGTCTCTCCCCTGAAGTGGCTCATTGCCACACAATTCCAGGCATTCATGTCCCTTCGCCCACTGCTTCACTTCCCACTCTCTGCCCTGTACCCTCTTTGTGTGCCTGCCTCGCTCCTGGTGCTCTGTGCTACGAGTGCCCCTTAATTGGCTTAGCCGCTCAAGGGGCTGGACAGTCCTTGGAAGCTGCTAGACTTCGGGCAGGAGAGGAGACGGGAGGGAATGGCTTCTCCGTGACGGAGCGCGAGCGAATGTGACGTGCACGACTTGCATGTCAATGCAGGTAAAGGATTGCTCTTCGGCTATTAGCGGGGCACTTCTTCTTCTCGCCTGCATGTATCGCAACGCCGGTGCCACAATTCGACAATTGCCGCTGATTTTTCGACAAGGCAAATGGCCCCGATGTCGGTGAATTTCTTTCCTATCATTCGGAGTGAAATGTTGGCAGTTGACAATCGACAATGTTGGTAATCGGCCGGGTGATGACGTGTGATGTATTTTGGTAATTGTGTGAAGATGTCAATCCCGCCGAATTGTTTCCATGCTCAAATGAGCAGATTGTTTGGTGGTCGTAGTCTTCGTTGACGGTGCTAATGCAGCGGTGTAAATTCCAAATTCTTGCAGTGGGGGACAGTCTCTGCATAAGACAACTACTCTTCCTCCCCCCCCCCCCCCCCCCGCTGTGAATGTGTACTTGTTGTATGAGCCACGGAAGGATAGTGGGGGCTGAGTCGGTGACTGAATGGGATTTGAAATTCCAAACTTTCAGATTTTTTGACTTGAACATTCAGCCACAGAAAGAATGTTATTTATTGGAATTAGACAGTAAGTACAGCGAGAAGAAGGTGGCTGGTGCATACTCTTCAAGTTGAGTTTATATCCCCTTGTGTCTAGTTTTATTACCACATTGAGACATTTGGTGTAACATCTGGAGCAAGCCGTTCCTTGACAGAGCTTTGAGCCTCGCTGAGGCTTACTTGGACAAATAACAGATAATTATTTTCGTTAACAACATTCTTTAGGAATACTTAGTCATTAGCGATCTCTCTGTGTGCCTTACATGCCCTCGCCTCTCTCCACTCGCTTGCCCTCTGTGACTGCTGTGCACACACGGCAGGGTCGCGCTAAGATGACTGCTCCACGCTACACGCAGGCACTTGAGTGCAGCCTGTGCACACATTTTACAACTGGCTGCGAGCACTTCAAAAACGTTGTTTTTCACCAACAATTGGATTAACGGTGTTAACCAGTGTATGCGAGCGGCAAGTATGAAATAGTTTTTTTGCTAAAAGTAACTTTGTGTGTCTCCATTTCTCGAACGAGCATTGGACTTGGCTCATCTGCATGGAAGAAATTCCACATTCCTATGACGGGAACTGGTCGTGTCACAAGACGACAACCGTTTACTTTGCACCAACTGGTGAGTTTTGCCTCATGGGGGGGGGTGCACGGAGGGATGATGGTCATGATGATGATGATGACCACGAGTTGACTCTAGCAGGGACTAACCATATTTCACAGTGACAGTCATTGCGGTTTGGCAAAAGGGAAACCAAGATTCTCACAAACTCATTGGACAAAAACCGTACAGACTGGAAACAAATAAAACATAATATACACCAGGTGACTTCTATACAGAAAATGGTGAGATTGTTACCACACGCTTACCATAATGCTTTGCACGTCAAATGACCTGCCCTAACTGCATGTGTAGTGTCAGTGATTCGGAGACGAAGTTTGTAGGAGGCATCTTCTTTTCTTTTAGAACATTCACGGTCTCGTCGACGCACTCTCCACAGCTTGGTCTCACCTGTACACAACACTAGCCGTCTAACACTGACGGCGCTGCCTGAGACAGCCAACAACTATCCTGCAGCGCAATATCCAGCGAGAGACGGCAACAACGAGACGAGTCCAATCCCATAACCGGCAGCCTCGAGCTCCCGCTCTCGGCTACTTTTATGCTCCCAGCGCTGCCTGGCTCCGCCCTGGCCGCGCCTCCCTTCTCGAACCCGCTAGCAGGTTCCAGGGGCCTCCAGATGATGGGGTCCTCCATGACCCTTGCCCCAGTTCCTCCTCTCCGCCAACACGCACCGTGCACACGCTCACCGGCGTGTGTGCTGTCTGTCCACCACAGTTGCCGCTGCTGCCCACCAGCCGGCGCTATTACACTACACGTGTATCATGCGCACCGCTTTGTTTTCGATCACGAACTCAAAATATGATCTGGCCACAATTTTGACGCCCATTATTTGTATAATTAATTACTTATTACTCTGCATACATTTGTAAGTTTTCCATATTTAGAGCCGAGACGAATGGTTACGAGGACATGGGCAGTCCTCTGCACATACGGTGTGTATAGGTATATATTCGTACAAGAACACACAGGGAGCCAAACTGAAACGCCATTGGTGATGATGATTATGATTTCCTTATTACCCAAGCTCACAGGTCCAGACTTGACACTTTTGGGAATTGTGAGAGTTTGATGATGACTGAAACCTGGGGATTTACTCTCTTTGTTTTAATGACAACGTTTACCTGCACTATTCACAGGGCAGAGCTTATATATAAGTCAACAAACAAGTACGGAACGCTGCTTCTTTCCATTGATGGGCCGGAACAAGTGGCCAAAATTCATTTTTTTTTAATCAAAGGGGAACGCATTGCTATTTGGGTAACCTCTGACTCCCCATAAATTTGTACCTATTGTATCGACGCCAAAGGAATGATGGCTCGTGCTGACACTCTCAACCGGGATTTAAACTTGCAAGCCTTCGGATTGCGAGTCGAGTGTGTGTATGTATAACTTATTTCGCACAGTGCATAGCCAGCCGTGTCCATCTGAGTGATGGAACCGCAGCGCCATCTCGGAGCTCCTCGTTCCCGTGTTTATTCAGCTTCTGATATCTGCGGAGCAGTGGCTGTGCCTGCAAGCACGCCGCGTTAACTGACGGGCGGGGGGGGGGGGAGCAAGGCGAGCCCCAAGGTGTGTGTTGTGCGTTGCGTTTAAACACGAGTCCCAAACACGCGCTTATCCAAGCAGACGGCGCGAACATTCCGTCTCGGGTTACGGGCGAGAGACGCGCGTCTGTCAGGAGCGGCGCGATGCTTCGTTACGGCAATGAGCGTCTCGCGTTACCAGGCCACACCGCGGCGCACGGAGAGGTGAAGTGCGTTCAGGTGACGCGACCGTCATCGCTCGCTCGCCGGCGACCAATAAACTGGCGGAGACAAATTGGACGTGCTAAAGATTGGGTTATTTAGGATGAACGATTTAAATGACGGTGTTAAGTAAAGGGACTGCTTTTTTAGTCAAGGTGTATGGAAAGATAATGGTGGGGTGGCAAGATATGGCACCAAAGGCTAGCGCATTTTGTGCCAAAATCACTGAGCCAACATTGCTCAGCTCCTGAGTTAAAATCAAGGCTCCAGCTGCGGTTAAAGCAGGTTATCAAGTGTAGTGTGGTGATACTCCTATCCGGTCACCAATGACTACACAAAACATAATATAATTAGGGGCTTTTTTTCATTTCATGCTCTCTCGACCAGCTCTTTGGGCTGAAATGTATAAATATACTTGATGACTGGCATGCCGTGAGCCATTTTTAATAGCGCATGATGGCGTGCCAATTTGTTTTTGTGTGAGATCTATCTTAGTGAGTGAAACGTCGTTATGGAATTGCGTCTCGTAAGACTTTTCGCTGGCTTGATGTGATGCTGCTGACTAATCCAGCACTTAAGAGGTGGGGTTGCTGAATCCTGTGGAGATCATGTCTACCCACTCGCAGGTGCAGTGAGGTTGCATGCAGATGGCAACACGGCAATGACGTTGCCAACCTATCTGTACAGATTTTTGAGTTAATGTTATCGTTCCAGTGCTCTTGTTTTCCGAGAAAATCGTGAGCGACGTGACTAGTTTCAGGAGGGTCCTGTCAAGTGTTTGCAGTAGGGGGGCGATGATTGGCACGTATATTCAAATTGAGAAATTTGCCAGTGATTTTGTTTTTCAAACGTGGGAAGTGTATCGACCTTGTACGTGTAGGTTATCTGCAGGTGCTCTGGTTTCCTGCAAGCTGAAGCGTTATTCGCAGAAAAAAATACATTGGCCAAATGTGCGAAAATTACGGCTGTCGCATATTTTCTGCCGCAGAAACAACGGATTCAAATGTCCTTGTTAATGCACTAAGAATAATAATAATAATCGTTTGATCAGCTGTCAGCTATTGGTCATGCATCTCAACTGGTGGCAATGTCCTCCTAGCCTAGGAGCCCAGCTTGGGCGCCACCTCTTGCTCATCCTTGGCCATCTCTGAAAAAAAAACACCCGAAAGGCGCTAACCCCAACACTCCACTCGAGTTGATTCTTCCCACCCGCAAATCCAACACGGGCAACCACCCAACATGGACACTCTTGCGCGCCTGATCCTTGTCACTCGGGGCCGAATGTCTCCGCTCAATATTGTCCGGGTCACTCATAGACCTGAAGCAGTGGACGTTTGACAAGGCAAGCCACAGCCGCAGCGAGAGGCATATACCGCACGTGGTGTGACGAATACGGGAAAAAAAATATTTTCCAGGTCAACGACACAGACGACAAGACCTAGGCTGAGTGGAAATGAAGCCCTGATGCCACCGAATCCGCCCGAAGGACTGCGTGGCTGGAGCGCAGGCTGCGTGTTGTTTAGCGTGTGCGCCTCCTAACGTTTCGTTCGACCCCGCTGGGCTCTCAAAAGCAGTGACAGCCCTTGGCACAGGCAACTTCGCACGGTGAATACTGACAGAAGCACATTTATTTAATTCTGCTTTGTACATCGCGTACACTTATCCCCTGGGGCGTGGCCGCTCGCCCAAAGGCGCCCTCCCCCCCCCCCATGAATGAAGGTGTTCAATTACAGCGCCGTTCGATAGGCGGCAGGTAAAGTTACGTCTTCGCCCAGGCAAAATGGGGTGCGCAAACAGGCGCTGGTTCTTATCTCAAAGTGTAAGAGTTGTTGGCCGCACGCTAACGAGCTGCGCGTGCAATCGCGTGCTCGGGTGAGGGTGGCAGAACGAGTTAAATGGCGTTGTCGCCAAAGTCTGCTGAGTCCAATTTACGCTGGCGTGGAGGACGCTTTGTGACTTGCGTTTTTGTACAGCGCCACGTGAGATGTTATTGCCTGTCGATTGTAATGACTGCTCTTTTTAAATGAATACAAAGTATTACCAAACACCCCACTTTTGAAGTGTGTGTGTGTGTTTTTTTTTGTGGAACTTTGGCCTCGGGGAAAGAACCGATTAAGATGTTTGAACGGTGCAGTTGCAAAGTGATTGACTTACGATTAAGAATGTTTCGAAGTTCCCTGTGTGTGGGAGTGCTCATCAGCCCCCTCTGAGTTTCATAAGTTGACTACCACATTGTAAGAGATTAACGGTTGTCCTATATATAGAGACTGGCCCTTGACATAGAACACCCCCCAATCTAACATCCATCGGGATGCTGCAACACTGAGGGAGTATAAGAAGATCTTGGAAAATCCAAATCTCCCTCCGCTGCACATCAACATAACATTTCCACCAAACCCTCCCTACTGAAAATCGAGAATTCAATTTTGGACACACGCCCTCGACTCTTCTGTGAGCCAAAAAAAAAAGGACTCCGGTTGCCAACCAAATGGCGCGTGACGTGGGGACGCGGTGGTGTCCCCTAAGAAGGAACCGCACTGAAGACCCGGACGAAGGCACCACAGCCCTAGTTTATATCTGCCGCACTGACGACATTGGGGACGGCTTTCAACAAACGTCACAACAACAACAACAGGACGGGGAAGACGATGCTGTGGATATTGCCTCCATAAATGGAACGGTCAACTTCTTGCCAGACTGCTAAAGCGGCCTGAGGTGCAATCCATCGGGCACAATACCGCCGACTGTTCGCCAAATACAAAAAAGTGTACTCTGGTGAAACGTAGATGTGCATGTTGAACTTCTTTCGCACCGTACGTAGCCAACCGTAATCGACGGTGCGGAACAAGCGGCCTCCACTCAGCTGCCCCAGGTACCATGCAATGCCTTGGCACGTTTAAAATGCAATTGTAGCCTGCTTTTTTTTTTACATTTACGGCATACAAAAGGAGATTTCCACCAAATGTAAGAGCGCCATCAATGAAGGTGCGCACACTGAACGAAGCTGGACAACTTTCACAAGATGGGATTCATTTCCATGAGGTTACCGGAAGCTGCACCATGCTGAAAAGGATAAGCAATCGACGACAATGAACTTGAGTGGTCTACTTTGCCAATTAAAAAAAATGTTGTATCAATGGGCTCTCACCTGCCTTGTTTCTAAAATATCACAATTGTCTGCCAGGACGTAATGTTTCTCAACTATCTACCCTCGTCAACCTTTGCCATCATCGTCACCCACCCCCACCGTCT